TATATAGAAATAAATCAAGAAAAAGGTACGCATAAAGCTTCTTTACAGAAACTACAAAACATTACTGAACAAACGGAACAAAGACCTAAAGAAACAATGTTCCACGCGTACGCGTGAAAAGACTCCATATTGTTGGGATGTCAGTTTTCCCCCTACTGCTCTAAAATTCATTCCAATTAAAATACAAAGGAAGTTGACACACTGATTCTATTAGGATAAACCAAATAAAATTGTGAAATTTTACTATTTTGATTTATAAAAAAGTGGGTATCTGTATAGTTCAAGCCAACCCAATGTATTTGGAAATGCAAAAAGCCAAGGAAAGCTCTGACAATTTTGAAAGATCAAAAGAACAGTTCCACTGGATTTCAAGACTTATTATGAAACTATAGTATTCAAGACAACACAGTATTGGTGCAAAGATAATTTTTTTTTAATTTCCAAAATAGAAAAAGGGACTGAGAAAGAAATCCATCCATATGTAGATCTTCATTTTCTACAAAGCTAATACTGCAGAGCAACGGTAAAGTGACAGGCTTTCTAGTAAATGTTGCTGGGAAAATTGGATATGCGTACAGAAAAAGTAAAATTTGGTCCCTACTTCACATAATATACAAAAATTGATTACATGTGTATTGTAAACCTGATTTTAAAGGCAAAACAATAAAACTCCTAGATTAGCTAAGAGAACATCTATATAAGAGTAGGAAAAACTTACTTACAGGACACAAAAAGCACTAACCTTAAAGACAAAGTCTGCTAAATCAGACTATATTAAATTTTAAAACTCTGTTTACCAAAAGACAATACATAAGGAGTACAATAACAATCCAGAGCAGGAAAAAATATTTGCTCTAAATATCACCAACAAAGGGCCCATATCAAGAATATGTAATCATTCATACAAATCAATAAGAAAGTGGAGACTGTATTATGCACAGTAAGTTTGAAAGAACCAAGTTTAATATCCAATTTACAATAAGATATTACAGAAATCTATGTGAACAGTTTGCTGTATTCAATAAATACAAAGGATACAAAAAAGAAATTCCAGGAAACAAAATACAGGTCAATACTTTAAAACTGATAATGTAACTAGTATTTAGGATTTGCAAATACAACTCCTCTAAATTATCCTTTTATGCCTTTTAAATTAAATTACTGACTACTTTTAGGGTATAGGTAAATATTTTCATTCACTGGTAGCACTGAAAATTGATTCACTATTTTTAAATGGCTGTCTGATGTATTTCAAGCAATTTTCTTTTCTGGGAATGTATTTCAAAAAAATTTTGAAAGCTGTATCTAAAAAAAAATTCTCACCTTGCTTGAGAATTTTGGGGATCTATATTTAACAAAGCTGTAAAATCCTGTTCTGCTGCAATCCAGTTTTCATTTTCATAGTAAAACATCCCACGTTTAAATAATGCATCTGTTCTTTTGGGATCGTAAAAAATACACTATATGGGAAGCAGAGGAGAGGCACAAAAATATATCACATAATGAAAAAAAGTATATTAAAAGTATATATCTATAGCAAATTAAATGGACTACAACCATGTCTTTAATTTAGATTACATAAAAGCAAACTACTTTAAGATGCCAAAACTGTCAGTTATACATTTAAGGACTTTAGGACGTCCATTTGTCATCAAATTTTAGAAAGCGGAGGTGTTGTTAAAAAAACAAAAACTCACAGCATGTGACGTAAGAGTAGCCAAAGCTTCCACACGCTGAAATTTCTACTAATAAAACCTCATAAGTGAATTGTTCAACTAGAGTGGGGTTATATTGGATCTATCACAGCATTTTATTCCAATTAAAGATGATACATACTAGAACACATCAAGGCTGATTCAATCAAATCAAATATTGATTAATCTAGGCCCTAAAATAGTGAAAAGAAATGAATTTATATTGGTATGTTTCACCCATTTCACATTCACATATAGAGTAATAGAGTGAACAGACTAAATCATTGTATACTCAGTTGTAGAACTCCTTGCTTGTTGATGGTGGGGGGAAATTGAAACATAAATATTACAAGGTATTTTTAAAACAGAACCAAAAAACACTAAAGATTTGAAGCTTGTTTGACTTCAAGTTACTGCATTAGCCAATTAAAATAAATTTATTGAAGTATAGTTGATTTACAACGTTTTATACAGAAAATGGTTTGGTTTTATATATATATATATATATATGCATTATATGCATTCTTTATATATATATATGCATTATATATATTTTCAGATTCTTTTCCATTATAGGTTATTACAAGATATTGAATATAGTTTCCTTTGCTATACTGTAGGTCCTTGTTGTTTATTTTATATATAGTAGTGTGCATCTGTTAATCCCAAACCCCTAATTTATCCCTACCCTCTTTTCCCTTTGGGAAACGTAAGTTTGTTTTCTATGTCTGTGAGTATATTTCTGGTTTGTAAATAAGTTCGTTTGTATCATTTATTATATTCCACATATAAGTGATGTAAGTGATACCACGTGTTTGTCTTTATCTGACTTACTTCACTAAGTATGATAATCTCTAGTTCCTTCCATGTTGCTACAAATAGTATTATTTCATTCTTTTCAATGGATGAGTAATATTCTGTTGTATATATATACATCTTCTTTATTCACTCATCTGCCATGGACATTTAGGTTGCTTACATGTCTTGGCTATTGTAAACAGTGCTTCTACGAACTCTGGGGTGCATGTATCTTTTTGAATTATATGTTCAGGAGTGGGATTGCTGGATCATATGGTAACTCTATTTTTAGTTTTTAAAGGAAATTTCATCCTGTTTTCCATAGTGGCTGCACCAAGTTACATTTTCAGCAATAGCATAGGAAGTCTTTTCTCCACACCCTCTCCAGCATTTATTATTTGTAGACTTTTCAATGATGGCCATTCTGACTGGTGTGAGGTGATACCTCACTACAGTTTTGACTTGCATTTCTCTAACAATTAACAATGTTGAGCATCTTTTCATGTGCCTGTTGGCCATCTAGATGTCTTCTTTGGAGAACTGTATATTAAGATCTTCTGCTCATTTTTTTGATTGGGTTGTTCATTTGTTTTGACATTAAACTGTATGAGCTACTTGTATATTTTGGAAATCAATCCCTTGTTGGTCACATCATTTGTAAATACTTTCCCCCATTCTGTACGTTGTCTTTTTGTTTTGTTTATGGTTTGCCGTGCAAAAGCATTTCTTTGATTAGGTCCCATTTGTTTATTTTTGCTCTTGCTTCCATTACTCTAGGAGACGGATCAAAAAAAATATTGCTGTGATATATGTCCAACAGTGTTCTGCCTGTTTTCCTCTAGGAGCTTTATAGTATCTAGTTTTACATTTAGGCTTTTAATCCATTTTGAGTTTATTTTTGTATATGATATTAGAGAATGTTCCAATTTCATTCTTTTACATGTAGCTGTCCAGTTATTGAAGAAACTGTCTTCTCTCCAGTGTATATTCTTGCCTCATTTGTTGTAGATCAATTGACCATAAGTGTGTGGGTTTATTTCTGGACTTTCTATCCTGTTCCATTAACCTGTGTGTCTGTTTTTGTGCCAGGACCATACTGTTTTGATTACTGTAGTTTTATGGTGTAGTCTGTAGTCAGAAAGCATAATTCCTCCAGCTCTGTTCTGCTTTCTCAAGATTGTTTTGGCTATTTGGGAGCCTTCCGTTTTAAATTTTTTGTTCCAGTTCTGTGAAAAATGGTAATTTGATAGGGATTGCACTGAATCTGAATAGTGCCTTGGGTAGTATGGTCATTTTTAACAATATTGATTCCTCCAAACCAAGAACATGGTATATCTTTCCATCTGTTTGTGTTGTCTTCAATTCTTTCATCGGTATTACAGTTTTTGGAGTACAGTTCTTTTGTACTCCAAAAGGTATGTTTATTCCTAGGTATTTTATTCGTTTTGATGCAATGGAGAGAGCTGGAAAAGTCAAGTCCCCTTCACAGTTGTCTCAATGCTCCCACACCCAACTCTGATATGAACCCATTTATTCACTAACAATTTTTTTAAAACATTGACATAATGTCAATATCAGTCCCAGAAATGAATGCTCTGGGCTCTAACCTATAATAAATTAATTTTGATTATACAACATATACGAAAGAATTTCAACAATTTGCTATAATATTAGGATAGGAATATCATGCTCTAAAATATATAAATGGCAACATTATATGTGATACGGCTTACTTTAGAAAAGTCATCAATGGCCAGTACTTTGTTTTCTATTTCATACACCTCACCCCTCCTGAAATATGTATCAGCATCCATGGGCTTGCACTTAATTGCCTGAGTGTAGTTTAGAATTGCCAAGGTCATGTCTTTTTTTCTTCTGAAAATTTCTGCCTTTGAAAGATATGCCTCTAAAGAAAATTAAAAAGTCAAAATTTAGTGTTACAGTTCTAAATTTTGAAAGATTAATTCTTCTCCCTCCAAAAATGTAGTCTCAGAATAGTGTTTCTCTATTATACCCTTTTAACCATTTAATTTAAGATTTGTTATTTATTTCAACAATGCAAAATCATGACCTTTTAATGTTCATAGTAAAAGGTTAGATTTTGATGGAGAAAATTTATGGACTTTCAGCAGAGATGAGCATAGATTAAAAAAACATTTATTAAGCTCATTATTTTCCAGGGGTATGTTGTAAGTGCTAGGGATACAAAGATAAATATGACATTTTCTCATTCCTCAAATCTTCCACGTCTAGTAGCTTAAGTTGGTTAAAAGATGGTACATAAGCACAGATGTATACATTTCATCCATATGAGAAGTCTTAAGAACATTATAACACTAATTCAAATTAGGTTTGTACATTGTCTCTGTAATTAAAAATTTTAACTTTATATTCCTCTTACGGGATGAGCAGTAAGGAACCAATTTATTGTAATGTATACAAAAGATATCAACATTTCAAATCATGATGAGTATTTTTAAAAATATATAGAGGATCACAAGAGCCCTAAATTTACAATGTCAAGAATAAATTTATCTTAGAAAGTCACAATCACTTTCTACATGTCTTGAATTATGTATCTTTATAATAACACTAAATGACCAAATCTTAGGTAAAGATATAAGTAATATAACTGCACAGACAACCCACCTGCATTATTTTTATTATATTTATTTATATAATTCAAGTCATCCAAAGCTTCATTAACTTTGTCTTGGAAAAGATAAATGAAATGTCGGTGCCAATAGGCATTGAGAAACAATGGCTCCAAGAGTATAGCCTAGAAAATAAATGTATAAATTCAATTTAAATTGCTTTATTAAGGGAAGATATCCTATCAAATAAATTTTCAAACATTATTGATCCCAATGGCTTTGTATGCATATAGTATAAAATGATGCTTCCCAATCTGACAAACAAAATCTAGTGTTTTTAATGTTAATTATTTGAAAATGCCAGCAATTATACTTTCACAATCCCACATGTATACTACAAATATTCACTGTTCAAAATTCTAGTAAAAGTCAATATACAAATATAAGTAAGAGTAAATTTTAGTATTGTTAGATTCGATAAAACTTACTTTCTGAAGATCATTCATGGCACTCTGTAATTTTCCCAATTTCCTGTAAAGAGCTCCACGCCTACAGTATAAAAATGCAGGATAATTCTTCTTCATATTTATCTCTTCAGTCAAGATCTTCACTTCGGATTCATAATGTCTGACGACCTCTGGAGGAAGATCAGACTTCAGACAATCACTCAACTCTAGTTTTGGCGGCTTCTTCACTCTTTCAGGAAAGTCTTTATCAACAGATATTTTAACAACTTTCTCCCTTGTGGTTGTCTTCTCACGTTTAGGCTTAGAGAACATTTCAAGAGCCCATGTTCGAGGATCACTATTCTTTGGAATACCTCCCTTACTTTGGGCAAATTTGTCAAAATTTAAATACAAAGGTAGGCTGGGACACCGAAACTGACGTTCATATACTGGAACTTTGAGCAGAAATTTCTTCTGTTCTGGAAGGATTCCGTGAGACATTGATCTAGTTTTTAAAAGAGTGATTTTTAAATTACAAAAATACAATTATTTTTATAATCAATAAAACAACTCAGCCACAGACAAAATTACTATTTGTTATTGAAATAAAATCACATGCTATTTTTATACAAAGTCTTCCTGTTCATTAACATCATATGAAGACTCTCTAGAGTTTATAAAATCAGGAGACTGTTACTAAAGATGTAGCCTTTGTAGAGAACTGAAATAAGGGGTCAGTGCTCCTTTCAGTTTAATTTACACCCCCACCCCACAACCAGAGAAAATGCAAAGGAGGTAAAACTTGATGTGAGAAAGGAGATGCCATCCAAATGGTTGGTAAGGACATGAACTTGAGGAAACGGGAAGAATGAAAGTCTGACTTCATAGTAGATTGCCAAACAAACGTCCCAGACTCCACCTTTCTTGAGTAGACTATTAAATTAGATGACTTCTAATATGCTCTCAAATGCTCCATTTCTAGGATTATCCTCCTCAAATTCTCCATTATATACACAGTTTTTATTCAGTAATATTTACTGTGTGCTAACTGTACTGACTACACAAAAGAGAATAAACATATCCCATTGGAAAGAAAAAAAATTAAACCCCATCATTTCATAAATATTTTACTGAGTGTGTACTATGAGAAAGACCTAGTGCTAAAATTTGGAGAATAAAAGTGAAAAGTCAATACCCCTCCCTTCCCTTACTTTGTGACGCTTCCCGCTCGTCTCCACATTCTAATGCAAGCCACCATCATCTCTTCTGCCTAGAGTACAATAATGTCTCAACTCCCTGCTTCTACTCTTGGTCTTTCATCATCCATTCTCCATGTGGCAACCGGAGCGGTTTTTTTTTTTTAAAAAACTTAAACCAATCATGTTACTCTTTCTAAAAGATTTCCTTACTACCCAGAACGCAAAGCAAGCTCTCCACCATAGGCTACAAGACTCTACATGATGAGGTCTCACATCTTTAATAACACTACTCTCCTCCCTTGCTCTTTGCCCTGGAGTACTAGTCTGTACAGGGTACATCCACAGGGCCCTTGCGGTTCTCTCAAGTATGTCCAATCAGGAGCCCCAAAAAGGCAAGGAGAGTGAAGTCAAATATTTATTCCTCTGGCTCCCTCCTGAAGGGTTGCCTCAAACAGGCCACGATCCTTGACCAAAGTTCGTAACTTCTTTCAAGGAAATCCTTTCTATACAATTCTTCTTTTCCAAGTTATAGTAATCACCCCCGCACCTTTTTTTTTTTTGTCCTCTCAGACTTAGGGGTAGACATTGGCTGTATTATTTCTATCCCCAAGATATTTCTCTGTCATTTGTGTCTCCCTGTGCCCTGACATCCTTGCAAATTGCTCCTTTGTTACACTTTCCTAGAATTATCCTAACTTGACTGTGCTCTGTTTACTACTGGAACCCCGACTGATAAATTATTTGTATCAGAGATGGGTCTAGGAAATACATATATAAAAAGATTCTTCAATGGGTAAATTATAAAATTAAGGACAAAACCATAATACATTTCTTAAACTATAACCATTATTGATTAAACAAGACCTTTTAAGAGTTTTTGGAGGCTTGGATAACTCATCACACACAACTGTAAGTTTACTGGGTTTCAATCCTTTCTTCAGTTTCATGCTCTTTCTCTTGGGATAAACAATGTAACTAATGCCAGCTTGTCTAGATGCTTCAATGAGAGAGAGAGACAGGTTTCTCAAACTGCCTTTGTCCTGAATGCTGTCTAAGATAGTATCTATATTTTCTTTCACAGAGGCGGATTCCTCAGCTTCCTTTTGCTCAGTCACCCGACGCTCCAACTCCTTTGCTTTCTGAATCATCATCTCTTTCATATTGCTTTGCGTGTCATCTTTAATCGCTAACGGAGCTGTGGTTTCCTCCTTCAACTCAACTGCAGACTTTACTCTCTTATATATAAACAAACAGAAAAAAAATCAATGTAACTGTTATACATACAAAATTAATCCAGTTACAATTACTATTAATGTAATTTGGTCACCACTGAAAATTTTTTAATCTTTTTCAATATTTTTCAAAAGTGAGTTTGTAAGTTAATAAGTGGGTTAGTTAAACTATAATAATTTGTTTGGTCATATGAGATTTCATTAGCTACATAAAAATAACACCATAAAGTAGGTATGCATTAATTGTGATCTTATATATTTTTAATTAAAAGAGAATGCTAGAGTAGACTGTTCTAGGAGAACATTTTTGAGATGTATATCAGATAATGTTTTGCCTATATTTTCTTCTAGGTGGGACCCCTACTTGAAAATGACACCTGCACCCCCCAATGTTCATAGCAGCACTATTTATAATAGCCAAGACATGGAAAAAGCCTAAATGTCCATCAACAGACGACCAGATAAAGAAGATGTGGTATATTTATACAATAGAATACTACTCAGCCATAAAAACTGACAACATAATGCCATTTGCAGCAACATGGATGCTCCTGGAGAATGTCATTCTAAGTGAAGTAAGCCAGAAAGAGAAAGAAAAATACCATATGAGATCGCTCATATGTGGAATCTTAAAAAAAAAAAAAGACAAACAAAGCATAAATACAAAACAAAAATAGACTCATAGCCACAGAATACAAACTTGTGGGTGCCAAGGGGGCAGAAGGTGGGAAGGGATAGACAGGATTTCAAAATTGTAGAATAGATAAACAAGATTATACTGTATAGCCCAGGGAAATATACACAAGATCTTACGGTAGCTCACAGAGAAAAAAATGTGACAATGAATATATATATGTTCATGTATAACTGAAAATTTGTGCTTTACACTGGAATTTGACACAACTTTGTAAAATGATTATAGATCAATAAAAGATGTTAAAAAAAGAGAGAATGCTCTTCACATATCCAAATAAAGTACACACTCTACTTTTACTTTTAATGCAAAAAAAATTGGTATAATGGGAAAATTATTAAAATGCCTTGCACTATAAAATCAATTTGTAAGTCTACTTTCAAAAGCACTTTAACAACTTGAATTTCTATACATAGCATTCAAATATTCTCCACAGTAATTTTCAATTCGGCACTTATAGGCTTAAGTAACAGAACTTCAGCCTAATATTCATTTTACCTAATCATTAGAGAGTCAACTTAATTTTTAGCAATATTAATATTATAATACATTAATAAATATTTTACAATTGTGCATTAGTACCTAAAACTCTAACAACACTCACTATTAATAAAAGGGAGATTAGTCCCAAGCCTTTATATAGCATATTCTGCCTATTGAGCCACTGTCAATAAATCAACTGCATTTAATTTTGCTAATAAATAATAATTTTCTATAGAAATATTTTTCTTTGTAGTGAATATAGGCCCAAATTCTAAATATAACAATTCCATACAAGCTAGTCATTTACTTTAAGATGTACTAAAGTCCAATAGAGATACTGACCCTCTGTAACTTACTACACCTCCCCCATCTCAAGAAAGAGCAGAGAACTACAGACTATAGAATATATGCATATGTATATATCAAGAAATATAAACACATATGAATGTACCAAGAAAACATATTCCTGAAAAAAAGCAGAACGTAAGATATGCAAATTCCCCGCGTGCTGGCTAGATATGGATTATGCAGCTCTGTAGAACACTTGGGAGGGAATTACTGACAGAATCTACAACTATGAAGAAAACTCTCAGAGTAGGTTTGGGTTTTTTATTTGTTTTCCAGCTTTACTCAGATATCATTGATATATAACATAATTAAGTTAAAGGAACAGTGTGTAAAGATACAATACATATATATATTGTGAAATGATTATCACAGTAAGGTTCGTTAACACCTCCATCCCCTCATATAATCACTGTTGTTTTTGTAATGGTGATAACATTTAAGAGCTACTCTTTTAACAACTTTCCAGTTTCATTTATCTTATAAACGGAAGATTGTACCCATTTACCAACATCTCCCTATTCCTCTCCTCCTGCCCCAGCCCTGGCAACCACTATTCTACTTTATGTTTCTGTAAATTCAGCTTTTTAGAGTCCATATATAAATGAGGACAGTATTTATCATTCCCTATCTTTTTTATTATATAAGTTTCAGGTGTTCAACACTATATGTCAACATCTGATGCACTACAAAGTTATCACCCCTAAAAGTCTACTTACCATCCATCACCACACAATTGACTCCTTCAGCCCTTTTCCCCACCCACTAGACTCCTTGTCTTCTGGTAACCACCAATCTGTTCTCTGTACCTATGAGTTTATTTTTGTTTTGTTTTGTTTGTTAATTTATTCTGGTTTTGTTTTGTTTTGCTTTGTCTTAGATTCCACAAATGAATGAAATCATATATTTATCTTTTTCCTTCTGGCTTAGAATAATACCCTCAAAGTCCACCCACGTTGTTGCCAGTGACAAGATTTCATTCTTTTAAATGATTATAAATCAATAAAACATGTTAAAAAAATTTCATTGTTTTTTGTGGCTGAGTAGTAGTATATAGACATATAATATATATAATGCTGCAATGAACATGAGGTGCTTATATCTTTTTCCAATTAGTGTTTTCATATTATCTGGATAAATATCCAGAAGTAGAATAGCTGGGTCACATGGTAGTTCTATTCTTAATTTTTTGAGGACTCTCCATACTGCTTTCCATAGCGGCTGTACCAATTTACAATCCCACCAATAATGTAAGGTTTCCTCTTCTCCACATCCTCTCCAACACTTACAATTTCTTGCCTTCTGGATAGCAGTCATTCCAACAGGTGTGAGATGATAGATCACTGGTTTCGATTTGCATTTCCCTAATAATTAGCAATGATTAATGTCTTGTCATGTACCTGTTGGACATCTGTATATCTTCTTTGGAAAAGTGTCTATTCAGACCCTGTGCCCATTTTTTAATCATGTTGTTTTTATGTTGTTGAGTATATGAGCACTTTATATATTTTGGATATTAATCCATTATCAGAAGTATGATTTTCATATTTTCTCCCATTCGATAGGTTACCTTTTCGTTTTGATGATGGTTTCCTTCACTGTACATAAGGTTTCTAGTTTGATATAGTCCTGTTTGTTTATTTTTACTTTTGTTTACTTTGCCTTCAGAGTCAGAGACAAAAACATTGCTAAGACGGACGTCAATAAGGTTAACATCCATGTTTTCTTCTAGAAATTTTAGGGTTTCAGGTCTTACATTCAAGTCTTAGTCCATTTTCAGTTAACTTTTGTGTACAGTGTAAGATAGTGGTCTAATTTCCTTCCTTTGCATGTAGCTGTCCAGTTTCCCCAAAAACATTTATTAAAGAGACGGTCCTTATTCCATTGTGTGTTCCTGGCTCCTTTGTTGCAAATTAATTGCCCATATATGTGTGGGTTTATTTCTGGGCTCTCAATCCTGTTCCACTGATCTGTGTGTCTGTGCCTATACCATACTGTTACAATTACTGTAGTTTGGTAGTATACATGGAAATCAGGGAATGTGATACCTCCAGGTTTGTTGTTCTTTCTCAAGATTGTTCTGGCTATTCAGGATCTTCTGTGGTTCCATAATATTTTCAGAATTATTTGCTCTAGTTCTATGAAAAATGCCTTTGGAATTTTGATAAGGATTATATTCAATCTGTACGTTGCTTCGGGTAGTATGGACATTTGAACAATACTGATTCTTCTAATCCATGAGCACAGAGTATCTTTCCATTTATTTGTGTCTTCATCAATTTCTTTCACCAATAACTGAATAGTTTTCTGTGTACAAGTCTTTCACTTCCTTTGGCAAATTTATTCCTAGGTATTTTATTCTTTTTGATGCAATTGTAAATGGGATTTTTTTCTTAACTTCTCTGATACTTCATTATTAGTTTACACCACAGATCTCTCTATATTAATTTTGTACCCTGTGACTTCATTTATTAGTTCTAACAGGCTTTTGGTGGTATCCTTAGAGTTTTCTATATATAATATCATACATCTGTAACAGATTTAACGCTTCCTTTCAAATTTGGTTGTCTTTTATTTTTCTTACCTAGTTGCTGTGGCTAGGACTTCCATATTATGTTGAATAAAAGTAACAAGAGTTGGCATCCTTGTCTTATTTATGATCTTAGACAAAAAGCTTTCAACTTTTCACCATTGAGTATGATGTTAGCTTTGGGTTTGTCACATGTGGCCTTTCATGTTGAGGTGCATTCCCACTATACCTGTTTTGTTGACAGTTTTTAATCATAAATGTATGTTGAATTTTGTCAAATGCTTTTTCTGCATCTGTTGAGATGATCATATGATTTTTAGCCTTTATTTTGTTAATGAGGTGTAGCACACTGATTGATAGGAGGGTGTTGGACCACCCTTGCATCCCTGGGATAAAACCCATTTGATCGTGGTGTATGATCCTTTCAATGTACTGTTGAATTCAGTTTGCTAATATTTTGTTGAGGATTTTTGCATCGATGTTCAAAAAAATTTGTCTGTAATTTTCTTTTTCTTTTCTTTTTTTTTTCTTTTTTTTTTTTTTTTTGTGATGCCCTTGTCTGGTTTTGGTATTAGGGCAATTCTGGCCTTATAAAATCCTTATAAAATGTATCTGGAAGGTTTCCGTCCTCTTCAGTTTTTTGGAAGAGTTTGAAAAGGATAGGTATTAAGTCTTCTATGACTGTTTGGAAGAATTCATCAGTGAAGCAAGCTACCTAGTCCTGGAGTTTTGTTGGTTGGGACATTTTTGATTACTGATTCAATCTCCTTACTAGTAATCAGTCTATTCAGATTTTCTATTTCTTCATGACTCAGTCTTGGTAGACTGAATGTTTCTAGTAATTTTTCCATATCTTCTGGGTTGTACAATTTGTTGGAATATAATTATTCATTGTATCATCATTCCCTTATGATCCTTTGTATTTCTACAATATCAGTTGTAACTTTTCCTCTTCAATTTGTGATTTTATTTATTTAAATCCTCTCTCTTGTTCTCTTGGATAGTCTAGCTAAAGGCTAGTCAACTTTATCTTCTCAAAGAACCAGCTAAATTTCACTGAACTTTTCTATTGTCTTTTTAATCTCTGCCTCTCCTACTCATCTGGATGCATCTTTTATCTTTGTTGTGGAAGCACTCTTCATCTAGTTCTCAGGTCCTTTTCAGAGGATAATTATTCCATATAATATAACTTTAAATTTTTTCTGTGATGGAAGGTAAGTTCAGGATCTTTCTGTCTCACCATCTTAAATCCAGTCCCCCTTTCTCTGTCATTTATCATAATGTCCAATGGTCCGTGCATGTTGTTACAAAAGGCAAGATTTTCTTCTTTTTTTGTGACTGATATTCCATGAATATAGATGCAAAAATTTTCAGGAAAGTAGTAAACTGAATTCAACAGCACATTAAACAGATCATATAACATGATCATGTGTGATTTATGCCTTGGACGCAAGGATGATTCAACATATACCAATCAATAAATGTGATATACCACATTAATAGAATGAAAGGTAAAGATCATGATCATCCCAATAAAGACATGAAAAGCATTTGAGAAAGTTTAACATCCTTTCATGATAAAAATTCTCAACAAAGTGACTACAGAGGGAACATACCTCAACATAATAAAGGCCATACATGACAAACTCACAGCTAATATCATACTCACTTGTGAAAGGTTGATTGCTTTCCCACTAAGATCAGGAACAGGACAAGTGTGCTCACTCTTGTCAGTTTTATTTAACACAATACTGGAAGTTCTAGCCAGAGCAATTACAAAATAAAAAGCAAAAAAGCCATCCAAAACTGAAAAGAAGAAGAAAAACTGTCTCTGTATGCAGATGATATGGTCTCACATAGAGAAAACACTAAACGACATGAAAAAAAATGTTAGAACTAATAAATGAATTCAGTAAGTTGCAGAAAACAAAATCAACATACAAAAATCAGTTGCACTTCCATACACTAATAATGAATTATCTGAAAAAGAAACAAAGTAATCCATTTACCATAGTATCAAAAATAATAAAATATTTAGGAATAAATTTAACCAAGGAAGTGAAGGATTTGTACACTAAAAGTTACAATATACTGATGAAAGCAATTGAATACACAAATAAATAAAAGATATCTCATGTTCATAAATCAGAAGAATTAGCATTTTTGAATATCCATACTATACAAAGCCATCTATAGATTCAAGACAAACCCTATCAAAATTCCAATAGTATTTTTCACAGAAATAGAGAAAAAAGTCCTAAAATTCGTATGGAAATACAAAAGGCCTCAAACAGCCAGAGCAATTATGAGAAAGAAAAAAACTGGAGGCATCATAATTCCTGATTTCAAATTTAATAACTAAGCTATAGTAATCAAAACAGCTTAGGGTGCTGTCATAAAAACAGACACATAGACCATTGGAACAGAATCAAGAGTTCAGAAATTATCCCATGCATATATGATCAACTAATATTTGACAAGGGAGCCAAGAATACTCAATGGTGAAAGTACAATAAACTCAATAAACTGTCCTGGGAAAACTGAATATTCACATGCTAAAGAATGAAATTGGACTTCTACCTTACATTACTCACAAAAAGTAACTCAAAATGGATTCAAGACTTAAGTATAAAACCCAAAACTGTAAAACTAGAAGAAATTATAGGGAAAAGCTCCTTGTTGTTCGTATTAGTGATAATTTTTTGGATATGACACCAAAAGCATAAGCAACAAAAGCAAAAATAAACAAGCGGGACCACACATCAAACTAAAAAACTATCTGCAGAGCAAGATAAACAGTCAGCAAAATAAAAAGGCAACCTATGAAATGGGAGAAACTATTTACAAACCATCTATTTGATAAGGGGTTAGTTCTAAAATATGTAAGGAACTTTTACAATAGCAAGAAGAGCAAACAAGTCAATTTAAAAATGAGCAAAGGAACCCAACAGAGGTTTTTCCAAAGAAGACATATAAAGGACCAAAGGTTCATGAAAAGATGCTTAACATCACTAACCATCAGGGAAACGTGAATCAAAAATCACAATGAGATTATCATCTCACACCTGTTAGAATGGCCATTATCAAAAAGATAAGAGACATCAAGTGCTGGTGAGACTCTAAAGAAAAGGGAACCCTGTATGCTGTTGAAGGGAATGTGACTGGTACAGCCACTATGGAAATAGCACAGAGGTTCCTCAAAAGAGTAAGAATAGAACTACTACATGATCCAGCAATCCTACTTCTGAGTATATATCCAAAGGGAAATGAAATCAGGATCTAGAAGAGATATCTAGACTCCCGTGGTCACTGCAGCATTATTCACAACAGCCAAGATATGGAAACAACCTAAGTGCCCAACAATGAATGAATAAAGAAAATGTGATATAGACAGAGATATACACACAATAAAATGTCATTCAGCCATAGATAAGAAGGAAATCCTGCCATTTCCAACAACCTGGATGGACCTTGAGGGCATTCTGCTAAGTGAAGTAAGTCAGAGAGAGAAAGAGAAATACTGTATGATCTCACTTATATGCAGAATCTAAAACAAACTCAAAGAGTACAGATTGGTGGTTGCCAGAGGCAGAGAGTGGGGCATGGGCAAAATGGTACAAACTTCTAGTTGTAAAATAAATGAGTCCTGGGGATGATTTAATGTAGAGCATGGTGACCATAGTTAAAATTAACCGTATTGTGTATTTGAAAGTTGCTAAGAAAGTAGATCTTAGCAGTTCTCACCACAAGAAAAAAAAAATGCACGTGGTATGATGGACGTTAACTAGACTTACTGTGATGATCATTTCACAATGTATACAAATATCAAATAAATATGTTGTACACCCCAAAATAATATAATGTCATATATCAATAGAAAAAATCTTAAGGATAGTGTCAGTGTACAGGGATACAAAACAGAACAATCAAAAAAATCAATAAGAAAGAAGAATGTCAGAAATGAAATAGGAAGCAGTCTAAAGTTAAGCAGGTTAAAAGCAAGTTAGAAGCAGGTAACATGAGGAATCAAGGTAGTTGACTGTCAGATTTCAGAGAGAAAAACAGAAGCTGAGAGCTAATGCCACTGAGAGTAAGATCAGTGCTCAAAAAGGCCTATGGATTCTTGTTGCAGAGCAAAGTACATTGCATTTGGTAAGAGAAGGTGTGGATTTAAGTACTGGTTCTGCCATTTATCACCTGACCTTTGCTTTTTCACATATAAAACAAGCATAATATCTGTCTCATCTTCCTTCTTATCAGGATGTTGTGAGCTCAAGATCAAACTGGAATAGTGTCCATGAAAATGCTTTAAAACTGGGAGCCCGACGCACATGTAGATCAATATTGTAAGTGACTTGACTTATAATATACCGAGTAAGGTCAAAGTGTGAATATGAGACACTTCCATGAGATTTTGAAAATTCGCCCTACCAACAGCTACCAAATACACACTGGAATCCAAGATTTCAATCAACTCTGGATGAATCAACTGATGCTACCATTGCAAGAAAGCAAACAAAAAATATAGGTGGTGATTACTACTAGAAATATAAACATTTTTTTGAATAACAGAAACTGAAAAATTATCATACCTTTAATTGTGGAGATTGTGTGCTGAAACACTTTCGGATATTTTCAAATGATGCAGATTTTCTTAGGAAAAAAAACTGTGAAATAATCAAATGATAAATATGCATTGACTCTAGATATTACTTGGTAAACTGAAATATCATATTACAATCGGCTAATGATAACTGTTTTAGGTAAATCAATGAAATGCAGAAATATTTATTAAACTACAAGTTATTACTGATTTTGAAATCGTTGACTTCACAGGAGTAAACTTAAAATCCATCAATTAATTTTAAAAAGTATATAATAATGGAAACGATCTCTTTTTTTTTAAATTCAACTTGATATTACAAACACCAGTTTCCAGTAAGTAGCACAAGTGTGTGTAAATGTGCTGTAGATACACTGAGCCACTAACCTCCTGAGCCCTGGGACTGCACGAGTGAGATATGGAGAGGCTGCTGTTCCCTGAACAGTCTCCTCTAAATCATGAGCGGCCTCAACCTTTTACTCCTGAAGATCGCACAAATATTATTACTCACTTGAGAACTATGCATTAAAAGATTTGGGAAGTACTAATATACCACATAGAGTAGCAGGTACCAAAAAAAATGTTTCATGTATGATGGTGAAAACAGACATAAATAAATAATTATAATTCAAAGCAGCTGTCACAATGACTGTAAAGATGGCATGTAAACAGGTGTAAAGAGAGCACAGGAGAGGGAGAGGTCAGTTCTGAGTGGGAAGGAGCCTGGACAGACCGGCTGGAAGAGGCAGCATTAGGCCTGGCCTGTGAAAGGCAGTGACATTCCCATATACTGAGAAGGGGCTGAGAATATCCCAGGCCAATGGGACAGCCTAAACAAGCACAGAGAAGTAGCAAGGTGCCAGGATTTTAGTTCCCAAGGACTCTGGCGCAGGCAGAGTGCAAGGCACGAGGAGGTCACACGGAAGCAGCAGCATAATGGGAGGTAAGGTAGAAGATACAGTTGAGGCCGGGTTATGAGGCTTCGTTAAGCACTCTGACTCTGATCACTGGACTTAGTCTCCTGAGACTGACTGACATAATTATACCTGTGTTTAAAAGAATATTGTAGGGGGCAGTGGGGAGGAGGGATTAGAAACAGCTGCTAAAAATGGGAATATCTGGCAGGTAGGTATAAGCAGTGCTACTATAATATCCAAGCATCCCAAACCGCAAAGTGTCATTGTTGGTTCAGTTATTTTTTCATGTGATGGTCACTGTTTCAGGTGCTGTGGATAAACCAGTGAACAAGAATGATATGACCACCAACCCCCACATATCATTCAAGCTGGCGAGAAATGAAAAGATCAAACATCCATAAGGACAAACAGTAAGTGCTGTAAGGAAAACAGTGAAAGTCATCTATATTACACAGGAAAATTACCCCCTCCAAGAAAAAAAAAGTATTATCTGACTGTATGAGGAATAAGGAAGGAGGCATAGACACATATTAAACCTAGTGAACTGACTAGAATAGGGATGTGATTTGTCCCAGGTCAATAAGGCTCCCTACTATGCGGCCCTCAGCATCCCAACATATCATCAAGGTGGGTAGAGGGCTGAAGGCCCTGAGGAAAGGGAAATAAAACCATTTCCTATTTGTCTCCCATGAAGTTCAGGACATTTATTAAACCAGTGATATAAATTTCATTCCCTTCTTCTCTCCTCAATTGCTATCTCTTTATTCTCCGATTGTATTTGTTACTTGATTAGTTTACTTGGATACACTGTAGTGATAATAAAGTTATGGGCATGAGTCCAATCACCACTTAGAGAATTCAACTTTACTCTAGTTCAGAGCCATAAACAATTTCCCTTTCCCCGTTTGGTCAAAAGATTCATAAACATGTTCCTTTGATCATTTAAGGCTTGAGCAAGCAATGATAAATGAGTGCAAAGCCAGACATTTCAGAAATTTTAGGAAAACTCACAGCAGATACCCTGCTACTACTTAGTAAATAACATCTTCTGAGTGTTATAAAGACAACATATTTACAACATAAGACAACATAAAGACAACATATTTACAACATAAAGACAACATAAAGACAACATATAAAGACAACATAAAGACAACATATAAAGACAACATAAAGACAACATATTTGAAAAAGAGGAACTATGTCCTCAATAAAGACACCAGTGAATGTTCTGAGGCATTTCCCAGAATGAGGAAGCACCAAGAAGTAACTTCTGAAAACACTAGAAATATCTGAATTGTAGTCTGATAAAGCAACCAACTCACAATTCCAAATAAAAATTATACATACCCTAGAACTTCTACGCTGATTAAATGTAACAACACTTTCCTTGCTTTCAGATGTAAATTTCTCAATTAAAATTCTGCTTGCTTGCACACTCTGTGATAAAAAAGATAAGTTTTAAATTATATAGTGAAATATTTTTAAAAGCCTATGATTACTGTTGCTTCATAGTACAACATTATTCCCAAAAGAGTAATGTATAGGAAAGGTAGAATTCCAGAAAACACCAGAGATACATCAAAGTCCAGTTGCAACCTTAGTATTTAGCCAAAACCCACAATTTGGCTTCATCGTTGGACTTTAGCCAAATAGATACTTCTATATTATTTCTGTCATCCCTGTTCTTAGGAGCAATGATCCTGTGACGTCATAGGTTAGCACTGAATCTATTTAGCATACCAACATCAGGATTATGAATAAAACATAGCATTTGGACTTATTGTCAATATGCGACTATTCACTGACAAATACAAGTAGGCATTCTAAATGTTAACTGGAATGAAAATTTCCTTAAATGCTTTATAGTTTGAACTCTATCAGTCAGTTAAGTTATATTATGTATATTTATTGCTGTAAGGGTAAACTGCTGCAATAATTACGATAATTATTAAATGCGCTACTTCTCTATCTTGTAATCAGTGATTTGGATATGCAGAAACAAATAGAAGACCTAAGTTTCATAGCCTGGTGGATTCATGGTGAATTAAATCATTTTGCTGCTTTGTTTGCTGAAATTTTTAGGTCTCAAGTAACATTTCAAGTTTTTTAAATATTTATTCAACAGAAAATCAACTTTTAAAAGTATCATGTAATTATCACTGAGAATGGAACAGATATGGAGAAGGCTACAGGTAATTTAGGAATCACCAGCACTGAATTTTTATTCATCCTCTCTGTTGCATTTTTGGAAAGTAGCTACAGCACAATGGAAGGTAAGAGAATTACCGGACACAGCGGAAAGATACTTGGTAACCTTCACCATTATTCTTCAAAGACAAACTATGTGACACACAGGAGACTTTGGAGCTATTCTGTCATATGCTTACACAAAATATTCAAATAGCAGCTATTACATATTTAAAAGAATGCTTTTAACAATAACAAGGACCAAAACTTTAATACTGTATTTTACAGATATCTAAACAGCAGAACTTACTAATAATCAATGATTGCTTTTTAAAAAGAGAATGTGGTTCATATGCTGGGACCAGTCAGGATGTTGTCCATACTAATGTGCCTTGAGAGGGCAATTATAGCATTGCTCACATACACATGATATAAAAATTCTCCTGCTCTACTCCAGGGATATTGTTAAAATTAGTATGCATGCAGTAAGAGCTGGGAGGCAGATGGAAATGGAAATAGTTTTGCTACCTTAAAGGTCAATTATGACTTTTGCTTCTAATTTTTGGAGGCTAGGTAATTCAGCTAAGAACAACTAAAAAAGCTACATGATAAATATATTCTTCAAAGCAAGAGCTTACAGGATGATGAAGAGATACTGGGGCCAGAATATAGGAAAAAGCAAAAACCTGGAAAGGTAAACCCAGTTCAAAGATGCTTTTGTTTACAGGATGTTTGCCAAAAAGGGGGCAAGGATGGCAGAAATACAAGCCCAGAGTCTCCCTGAAGTGTGGAAGCTGACTTTATACACACAAAATATACAAGTACCCATGGCTGCAGGGACACTTTAGGGCTACACCCTCAGATTAAGAGTGAATGTAAGTAAGCCAACATTTGTTTAGACTTTCAACATAGGCTCTGTCACAAAAGTGATCAGAGACACTCAAGCCTCAACCTTAGATTTAGGCTGAGTAGTAAAAATCTCAGGTTCTGACAAAAACTTTTCTCCAGAAAAAGGAACTGCCGGGGTAGGTCTCAACTATATCCTAAAAATAGTGTTTTAAATACAGTGATAAACATTTAAAGGCAGACAGGTACACAAAAAAAGAAAACACCAGAACATAATAGATTTGGAGAAAAAAAAATTCTAAAATGAAAAATATAAAAACAAATTAAAAAATACAGAGAACAGGTTTAACAGTATACTAGATACAACTGAAGAAAGAATTTATGAGCCTGAACTGTAAGACAGATCAGAAGAAATTGTCCAGGATCCAGTATCAAGAGAAAAAAACGTAGCTAATATATGTGACAAAAGTCCCAGGAAATGAAAGAGAATGGACAGAGGCAAAATTTGAAAAAATGGTGACTAAAAATTTTCCATAGCTGACGAAGATATCAGACAGATTCAAAAATCCCAATGATTCCAAAACATGATAACTAAAAAGAAATCTACAACTAGCACATTATAGTAAAACTGTAGGGAAGAAAAGAGGAAAATATAAAAGTAACAAGCTAGGGAGGATGCAGAGAATTGATTATCTTCAATGAAAAGATTCATACTTAAGACTCATTTCTCAATAGCAACAGTGGCCACCAGAAAACTGTGGAACATCATTAGTGTGCTAAAGGAAAATATCTGCGATAATAAAAATATTCCTCAAGTATGAGGTAATATAAAAACATTTGAAACAAAGAAAAAACAGGGCTTTTATCAATTGCAGACCTCCCACTTCCCTTAAAGCAAATTCTAAAAGATATACTTTAGGCAGAGGGCAAAATGATTCTGGACAGAAAGGTCTGAGATGCTAGAAGAATATAAAGGAAAAAAGAGAGAGATAAATACATGGGCAAAACATAAGGAATACTGCATAAAATGGTAAGAACAATGTCTTTGGAATTTTAAAAGATAAGGATCTAAATATGTATCAAAGTAAGAGCATATTAAATCAAGAAGGAGTAAACAGAATAAAAAGCTTCAAAGTCACTGTGGTTCCCTGGCAAAGTATAAAAGGTACTGAGTAATATTAGATATTGGTAAGTTAAAGATGTATACTCTAGGGAAGCCATCACAGGAATAAGAAACAACATATATAACTTCCAAAATAGGGATGATAAAACACAATTTATCCAAATAGTTGAAAAAAATAAAAATAAAATCAGAATATATTATATGCAGTGAAATTTTTTTAACAAAAATATATATATTTAAGATAGGAAATAAAAGGAGACTATAAAACAAACAAAAGGCAGCATCTATAAAAAACATGAACGGCAGGATAAAACAAAAGTCAGTCATCATAATACATGAAATGGGTAAAATCTGCTTTTAAAAAAATGAGAGACACAGGTCTTTGTATTTGAATACCATTCCCCATTCAAAGGAACCAAGAGTCTTTGAACAAAGGCCTGATTCCAGTTCTGGTGCATGGAAAGTGTCCTGGGCCCTCTTTTTGTACCAGAAAGTCCTGTTGGATCCTTTCTCTTCTGATCATTGGATGTGAACAACAACAGTACAAATTTACTTGGACTACCTTTCTAGTGGGTTGCTCCGTCATCACCAGCTCTAACCAGCCCTTCTTATACTTGTTACAATTCTTACTTCTGTTCAGACAATTCTACCTACTCTCAATTCCCTCTATTCACACTTTTTTATATACAAAGACAGGAAAAAAATACATGCCCATACTTTATAAACATACAGTTTGGACAACACTGTACTCATATTACAGACTCCCCTATTGTGTCAGTTCGGTTAGAAGTAGATGCTACCAGTGGAAAATAAAAAGAGAGGGAGCAATTGGCAGGAGGAGCCTTCAGACCATGATGCAGGTCTGTGGATGGGGAAGAGAGAGGAAGGATTGGGTAGGAAGAGATTCAGACCATGGACCAGTTCTGAGGAAGAGTCAGCCGGGCAGATGGAAAGTCCTTAAGCCAAAGTATCCGTTAAAACCATCCCACAATGAGCAGAAACAGGTCAACTCCAGAAAGTCCCCTGTGCTCAGTCACTGGCTGGAAGCAGTCCAGAGGAAGAATGGACCTGCAGTGAATGCCGTGGTGGATTTGATGGACAGCAGCTGGAGGCTGACAGTCAAGTATGCTCACTCATCAAATTCTCTTGAAGGACATGTGAGTGTCACATTTTTGGGGCTGCCACACTTATTTATACAATTAATGTTCACCAGTCTTTTACATTAAGGAAACTTTTATATAATTTATGTTATTAATCTTCTCTTTTTAGTTCATGGCATTCCCCCCCCCCAAATAATGATTATTTTCTTAAGTAAACGAAAAGTTTAGACTACAGTTAAGAAAAGTAAGTGCAAATACACACAATGATCTTTCAATTTAAATTACACATATACTTTGGCCAGGAACTCCAGATAGAAAAATACACATATGTATGCAAAGACATGTGTGCAAGTGTGTTTTAAGTGAAAAAATCAAGATGAAGAACAATACAGATTACATGATTCACATATGTAAAATCATTCATCTGCATATACCTGTATGACATAAATAAAAATGAAAATGTCCAAGTGGATATACACAGTGCATGTAACAGTGGTTAGTTTCAGGGAAAGAAGAGAGCTGGGGAGAACAGCATTCATGGGGCGGGGAGCACATGTTATACCATACACATTCTTGTATTTGAATTTCTTCTACAAGAAAGCATTCATATACTATTTGTGCAAGTTCTTAAGTAATTTTAATAGGCCTTGCCACTATGAAAACAGTGCAGACAGTAATATTGCTAAAGAAAATAATGGTGGTTTAACAAAAGACAGGCTACAAAGAAAATTTTGAAAAGAAACCACAAAGGGAACTAATATTCCTAAGACCAAATTAACCATATGCCAAAACAAAAACAAAGAGAAATAACAGAGAAATGATGTAAGTGAAAATATTCCTGAACACAAACAGAAAAGAACACAGGACTGGACATATTAGAATAGAATTCCAGCATTAAATAGGCCAAAGTAGGTCATTCAAAACTGATATGAGACAGAGTTCATAACAGAAATAAAATACTGCCAAATTCATGATAAACAACTTCTAATCACATAAAGTAAAAACTACTAGTGACATATGGAGAAACGGACAGACACAGCTGTGTTGAAAATCCCAAACAGTATTTTTTAGATCAAACCAAAGAATTACACCACAGAAGAACAGAATAATAAATCAATATAACAGTTATACCTATTATTAATTAAGCACTTACCATTCATCAAGTAATACACTATATAGCCTCACTCCATCCTCAGAACACCTACTTTATGTAGAAAAATCTGGGACTTCAAGGAGTTAATATACTAATACAAGGTTATCCAGGAAGTAAGTGGGAATTCAAATCCAAGACTGACTGCAAAGCCTGTGCTCTGCTTAGTGCAGCCGCAATATAAAAGTAGACACTGTGTACAACAGCATTGAACTGGTAGACAGTGTTGGGATATTTAGTACACCACAAAGCAAATATCAGTAAATTCCAAGACACTGTTATTCTAAAGAATATATTGTCTTATGTTAATAAGGATTAAAAATAAAATTTAAACAAAATAATTCCAACAAGTTAATTTAAAAAACACTTTCCCTCATAAATTGTGTATCCAAAAGATGATGAAAACTACAATAGAAATTATTTAGAAAATAAATGAACCCACTATAAATAAAAATCTATGAAATAAGGTCAAAGTACTTCTATTACTTAAAAAGAAGAAAGGTAAATAAATTAAATTTTCAACACAAGAAATTAGGAAAATGCCCAAAGACGTCAACTTTCTGTGGAAGCAGGAAACCAATGACCAAAAAATTTTCAAAGAGAGAAGTAACAAAAATTCAGAGGGGTTAAAGTTGAATTTACAACTAATACAAAAGTTTTTTGGTCGAAGATAGTAAGTTAAACTCGTTTGCTTTTCTGGCTGACTGGCCATGATATTTAATAGCTGGGGGGATCATATATCATAAACCTTGCTAAAAAAATTAAAGGGATGGTTTTATACCAGTGTGACTAATTTGACAAATAGAAACTAAAGCATTGGTAACTGAAAACAAATGAGAAAAGACCAAAAAAAAAAAAAAAAGCTAAACTTATTTCTAGAAGAACACCCCTCAAATATCATTAGAAATGGGAAAGAAAACAATGCAACTTTAAAAATGAGGATTAAAACTAAAGAGAGAATATATACAAATTCTGCAAATTTATAAATTTCAAATGAATAGATGGGTTTCTGTAAAAATATAGGTTACCAACTGACTTGAGAAAAAATATTAAGCATGAATAACCCAAGAATTAGAAAATAAAGTTTTAATTATCAAAAAATTACCCTCCCAGACAGCTCAAATGTTTCTAGACAGTGAATTCTTCCACATTTTCAAGATTATTCCTATGCTATTTCAATTCCAGAATATTAAAAAAAGATGAAATGTTACCCAATTAACTTTATGAAGCAAGAATAACCTTGATACCAGAGTCCAACAAAAAAATACATTATATACATATTTCAAGCATGAGTATATATTTTAAAAAATAATAAAATACTGCCTAACAGAATTAAATGTAATATTTAAGAATACTAGATCATGACTAAGTAATCCAAGAAATGTAAAGGTGTTTCAATATCAACATTCTAAACATGCAGTGTCAATAATGAATGTGATTCCACACCTGCCTTGGTTGCAGGGAAGCTAAGAGGTAAACTGATGACACCATTTCTAGCAAGGGTACATATGGACAGGATTTCTTTGATTTAATCTTATCTCTGACAGTATTATGCTATCACTCTTAATGCTTTTCCCATGATTTCTTTAACTTTTTGGTTTTATCCTTTTCTGATACTTGTGTTATTAGTAAGCTGTCTAAGAGCCTATGCAAATAAAATAATCCTAAATACCATTAAAATTTTATGTACTATTATTTTCATCACAGAATTATTTAAAGAGGAAAAAGTAGGAAGAAGAAAATGGGGAAAGGAAAAAAAGAGGAGGAGGAAGAGAAAGAATTTTTAAAAATTAAAAAAAATAGATCAAAAAGTGGGCAGTAACTGTCTTGGGGGAGAAAAATAATAGATGATTTTAGTTTTCTTCTCTTGATTTCTCTAATTTTTAAAATAAGCAGTATAACATAAAATGATAGCAAGCAAACACTTAAAGGAACCAAAAAAATAGACTAATAATTGTACTGGATGAGTAGCTTTAAACTTTTTAAAACCTTAACTAAAAATGTACTTTTAAAAGCAAATGAAAATATCATAAAGATCTAAACAATCCAAGAAGTTTTATATCTTGTCAGTCAAATAAATTATGCTTTCAGAAAGAAAACAATATTCTTCCTGACTGGCTAAAGTAACATGGATAAGCACAACATTTTTTTTAGAAATATACATGTAATATAAGTATATGTGTATAAGTATACACAGAGTTATGGGCTTGTAAGTAGATTTATATATATACATATATATGTATATATATACACACACACACACACATACAGACATATACAGCCATGTAATAGTTATTTATTATGTACATATATAATTTCTGTAGTGCCATCCAATCATTCAACTATGGCAATAGTTACCAACAATTTATGTAACAACTGTCCAGTAAAATTTAATGTCATAATCAATCATACGGTTTAATTATTAAACAACAATAGAGAAAAGCCATTCAGCAGTTTACCTCATATTTTGGATATACGGTTTCCTTCATGGCAGATACTGGAACAGAGAATTTGGGTGAAGTTAGATTCCAAAACAACTTTGTAAATCCTGGATAAGCAGACACCTTTGGAAACAATATAAAAGGCTATTAGAAACTAACAAATGGTCCCTAGGGTAAAAACCCAAGCTCCTGTCAAAATTAGTTCTAGCTGCCAAGAAAATTAGGAGATTGATTCCACAGTCTCTGTAAGCCTGGGAAAAACAACTTATCATACCTATTGATTAGCAAAAATATACAAGTCAGCGATTCCAAGTGATACCAAAGATGTGGGAAGTTAGCAGAGCCACACAAGAGGCAAACTGGGCATTTCTAATAAAATAGTAAATAACATGCCACATGACCCAATTATTTCACTTCCAGCTATATAATCTAAGGAAATTCTTCCACACATGCATGAAGAAATATATACAAGGATATTCATACAGCATATGAAATAGCAAAAAAACAAACCCCAATTGAAATGTCAATTAATACAGAAACATGAATAAAACTTGGTATATTCATACAACTAAACATTATAAAGTTATTCAAGCACAAAAATTATAAACCATAAATGTCTCTTAGAAGCACAGTATATCAGTAAAATTAGCAAGTTTTAGATATGTACAAAATCATGCCATTTACATAAATGTATCTAGAACACATAGCACTAAGCATTTATTGCTTACGGTCACAAACACATCTCATAAAGTATAAAATCATGGACTGGAAAAACCACAGTTGCAACAGTATCTAACGCTTGGCTAAAAAGGAAGAGAAACGAATTAGTAAGCAGTACAAGAGGACTTAATTGCTTTTAAAATGTCTTTTATTTTGAAAAATCTGAAACAAGTATGACAAAATGTTCATTACAAATTCTTGATAGCATGTACCCACGTGTTTGTTAGTTTGGTTTCCGTATTTCTTTCTTTCTTTATAAAGTTCTTCCAAATAAAAATTAATCAGGCATAGAGGAATTTTTAGAAAGGTGAAGCCATTCAGTATGATACCAGAACTGTGGCTATATGACATTACTCATTTGTCCAAATCTATTGAACTTTACAGCACAAAAAGTGAGCCTTAAAGCATGCAAATTTTTTTAAAAGTCACTTGGGCAGTCAAGAGGAATCCCAGGATGGAATGTAGAATGTAACAAAACAATCTAACTATACTATTACTATATGCAACAACTTCACTGAAGGGGGTGAGACAAAAATTGCTGCCCTTAGTAACTCTGGAAATGAGTGGAGTATATAAGACCAAAGGCAAAAGAAACTGTACGTAGCACCAAACTTCAGTTGATAAGGTTGCATCCCACAGGAATATGGGTTAATGATTCTGATATTTCTACACATGTACACTTCTACACTGGAACTGAACAATTAAGTAATTGGATGGAGGATGGTGGGAGCCAGTGGTGTCACTCACTATTGGAGTGGGAATTTAAAGAAAAGCAATGGAGGAGGTTAGAATTATCCATGTGGTCGTGAATTAGAGTTGCAGACATCACTATGAACCCATGTTTAGCTTAATTTAGATAAAGATGGTTACAAATAGAAATACTATGTTATGTGTGTTTATTATATATTATATGTATTATAATATGCGTATTTACAGACATATATTTGCATGAGCTGAGAAGCCCTAGAAGCAATAAGGTTCCAGTAGCAACAAGCACATATAATGCCCAGGGTCTAGTTTCTAATTAAATTCTCTAACAAAGGGAACTGGGGCTTCCTGGAGAAATGGCTGATTCTATGGACTGGGGCAGGAAATATGCAAGATGAGCTTGGAGCATCTGTACTGCCAGTAATTAAGTATTTTAAAAAAAAGTCCCACAGTGATGGGACATGTCAAAGGGACCTAGGAGCTCTCAATGACCAAAGCTCAAACAATTTTAGCAAAATAATAATAATAATAATAATAATAATAATAATAATAATAATAATAATAATGTAGTATTGGAGTATAACTCAAAGTACAACATAAACATCCATGAGTCATACTGATGCAAATAAGTGATTCAATAAATAAATAAATGGGAAGAACAGACAAATGTCCTGTCCAGATGAATTTGAATTAATTTTTGCAGATACTCTGCCCTGAAGGAGGTGGAGCATAGCTCCCCATTCCTTAAGTGTGGGCTGCACATAGTAACTTCTTTGAAGCGAGTACAGAATGGAAAGGGGCAAGCAGGGACACTACAGTGAAGAAAGCTGGCAGACACCACCTCAGCCAGGCGGTTAAGGTTAACATCGACAACAATAAGTCACGTTCACAGTATGTACCCTAGACGTGATTTGATGAAAATGGGACCTTTCCTCAGGGAAGCCTCCTGAAATCACATTAACTACCAAATCAGAAAAACAGCAGGCAATCCCAGCTGGGGGACAGTCTACAAAATGCCTCACCAGTACTCCCCTAAACCATCAAGGTCACAACAAGGAAAGTCTCAGAAACTGTCACAGCCAAGAGAAGCCTAAGGAGAAGTGATGACTGGATGTAACATGGTGTCCTGGGTGGGATCCTGGAACAGCAAATGGACATTATGTTAAATCTAAGGAAATCTGAATGTTAGTTAATAATAACATACAAATACTGGTTCACTGGTTTAAAAAATGTACCATCCTGCTCTAAGATGTATTAGTAGTTTCTCTGGGCGACTGCAGCAAATTGCCATTTGGTGGCTTAAAACAAGAGGAATTTGTTCTCTCACAGCTCTGGAAACAAGAAGTCCAAGATCAAGGTGTAGGGAGGGCCATGCTCCTTCTGAAGGCTACAGAGAATCCTTCCTCACCTCTTCCTGCTTGCAGCAGTTACCAGCAATCCTCGGCATTCCTTGGCCTGCAGCTGCACTGTTCCAGTCTGCCTCCATTATCACACGGCGTTCTTCCTTGTGTGTCTGTGTGCCTACCCTAAATCCAAGATGACCTCATTCCAAGATTCTTACTTTCATTACATCTGCAAAGATCCTATTGCCAAAAAAGGTCACATTCGCAAGTACTGTGGGTTAGGACTTGGACATATCTTTTGGGAGCCACTATTAACCCACTATTATCATATTAATAATAGGAGAAACGGTGTGTGATATGTGAGAAACCGCCATACTGTCTTTGTAACTTTTCTCTCAGTTTAAAATTATTCTAAAAAATAAAGTTTACTATCAATAAAATAATAAAGCAAATGATAAAAGAAAATATAATTTTAAAAAATACTTGAAAGTGAAATTAATCAGGCATTCATGACAAGATTTAAAAAATATGTGGCAAGATTTTTCAAAATAATAACTGTTTGAATCCATGATATTATTGGTAACTACGTTTTCTTTAGTATTTCCATTAACTTCGAATAATATTTAATTGGACCAAGCATTTTCCCCAACAAGATTTGTCTTCCACCAGAAAAAATGACCTCAAACAATTAAGCATCAACTTGCAAGCATGATTCTAGCATTGAGTATGAAACCTTAACAGTGACATATCCTGGAGTGTGGGTGTTATGCAGACTTCCTATAAGGCAATATACAAAGACCCAAATGCAATAAATAAAGATTCACAATTATAAGCCGACAATGAGTCTCCAGCATTTTTACTTCTAGTTAACTATTCCACGATCACATTTCCTCTCTACCAACAGAGTACTGTATCTAGCAAAAGGCAGATTTTGCAGTTGCCAGTTTAATTTGTTCACTGTAGAAATTCAAATTATTTCCATTTTACTCATCCTCTGCTTTGGTGGGCAAACTGCGTCACTTTATGCTGTATAGATCTAGAGCCGGGAATACCTCACTAAAAGATTAATAAACTCTTCCAAACTCAGCTGACAACTCTTCAGCTAAAGATGATCTAGAAATTAAGATTTCAGGTATTCAAATGACATGTCACATATCCCTTGTTGTAGATAAGCTTCCAGCAGTTTAAGCATCCAGAATAAAATTATTCCTCTAGAAGAAGGCAAAATACAGGCCTCTAAGTGTCAAGAGAGGTAAATCTATCACTAAACAACATGACTTTGCTCTCAAGGAAAAGCACAGATGCACCTTCAGGAGAGAATTTGTCCAATTAAACTAGCAAAGAAACACTCATCATGGTAAACTGGTTTCCCTGGAAATGCTCAGAACTTTCTAAGAGGAGAGTAGGAAAATGGCTACAAACAGCTGGGCTGGTGGCTGCTGGAACTTGACAGAGGGGTAGAGATTGCACAGCAAACTGAATTACTAACTAGAAACCAAGCTAGGTTAATTTAGTATAATAGCACCTGCACAACCCCTAAGGTTACTGTGCATATTCCAACCCAGTACATAACTCATGTTCATAGTGAGACCGAAGGTCAGAACATTCTGTTCACAAAGGGAGAGAGACATGCAAATTAATTCAGGGGTAAGTTAAGCTTCATATAAATGAAATATAAAGACGAACAACAGATTCCAAAAAGTGGCTTGAGACTCTGGAGAGACTCAAGACCTTTTCACACTAAAACTACAAAGAAGTCATTTGCCTTTTGTATTTGCCTTTTTCACAATGTTGAAATCTGCAATGTTGGTGTTAAAAAAAAAAAGTAAAATTGATGGCACCTTGGCATAAATTAAAGAAGCAGAACCTTAAAAGTGACCCTCCCCTAGGAAGCAGGAAAAATGTTAATTTTATTAAATCGTAACTTTTAAGTACATATCTTTTTAACATTCAATGTAACTAAATGAGCAGTACACATAAAGTACTTCTGTGGCCATGGTGAAGTAGGATGCTGGTTTTGAGGAAAAAAACATGTGTGCTATTGTTTGAATTGTGAACTGAACTAGCCACCATTTTTAGTGGGGAGGACAAACATTAAACCATGGTTATTCAGACTTCAGTATGTGGCAAGCATTTTCTTGAAAATGAATGAAGCAAATCTGTCATTTAAAATAAAGTAATTGAGAGTATTTGTGCCAATGAAAAAATTCAAGCTTTCAGCAAAAATTAGAATTTTGGAAAATACGTGTATTTCACCATAAGCTTGCCAGGTTCCCAGTGCTTAAAGACTTTTCTGATAATACTAAAATTGAGAAATTTTGATATTGTATATATGGTGAAACATGTCAACATTTGAAGAGCTACATAACTTGGACAGTGTTTTCTAAATGACCAGTAAATAATGTTACAAAATCATGCATGGGTCAAAGTACAAAATAAGGCAGCTGATTTTCATGTAATAAAGTATGAAAAAGTCATTGATATGGTTTCAGATTTCCACTGCAACAAGCTTTCTTAGCTGTACAAATTATCATTTAATACATTTTCTTTTTAACTAAGTTTAATTTTTCTTTTTCATTTATTTGGTACTGGGGTCCAATAACTGTAATTTTTATTAAATTTTTTATTGAGATAATTATGGATTCACATGAAGTTTTAAGAAATAATACAGGGAAAAAATCTTAAATACTTTATTAAAAAAAAGAAAAAGAAAGAATACAGGAAGACCTCCATCTGTCATTTACCCAGTTTACCTCAAAGGCAGTATCTTGCAAAATTGTAATACAATATCACATACAAAATACTGACACTGGTACACTTAAGATATTGAACATTTCTGCTACCACAAGGATCCCTCATGTTGTGCTTAACAGACACATTCCATTCATTCCCACCACCACCCCATCCTGAAACCCTGGAAACCACTAATCCATTCTCCATTTCTGTAATTTTGTCATTTCATGAATAAACATTATAAAATAAACTCATCCAGTACATAATGTTTTGGAATTGGTTTTTTCCAGCATAATTCTCTGAAGACTGTTTATAGTTGTATGTATTCATTCTGTAATGTGCTTCATCATAGTTGCATGTTTATTTATTTATTTATTTTTACTTGCCAAACTATTTTCCAGAGGTCAGAGAAGGGAGTTTTTTAAATTATATACTCAATTTCCTTAACATTATAGTGCTATTCAAATAATCTATTTCATAGAGTGAGTTGTGACAGTTTGTGCTTTTTGAGGAACTACTCCATTTTGTCTGCTTTTAAATATATGTGTATAGAGTTGTTAACAGTATTCCCTTAATTATTCTTTGGATGTCTGCAAGTTCTGTAATGATATCTCCTGTTTCACTTCTAATACTGTCAATTTGTGTCTTTTTTTTCCTTGTCAGTTTTGCTAGAGATCAATATTATTGATATTTTCTAAAAACTACATCTTTGTTTCACTGATTTTCTCTATGGCTTTTCTGCTTCCAATTTCATTGATTTATGCTCTTCATTATTCCTTCTCTATGCTTGCTTTGGGTTTATTTTGCTTTTCTTTTTCTAGGCTCTTGAGGTAGCAGCTTAAACTGATTTGAGAATTTCTCTTTTCAATTGTAAGCATTTAGTGCTATAAATTTCCCTCTCAGCACTGCATTATCTGTGTTCCACAAATGTTGGTATGTTGTATCTTCATTTTAATTCAGTTCAGTTGATTTTCAATGTATTTTTTAAGCCCCTTGAGAATTCCTCTGTAATCCATGGATTACTTATATCTGTATTGTTTAGATTCCAACAGTTTGGAGATTTTTCTGTTACCTTTGCTACTGATTTCTTGTTTGATTTCATTATGGATTTGTTCTAGCTTGGTATATGTTCTGTGGAACTTGAAAAGAATGTGTATTCTTTGTTGGGTGTAGTGTTCTATACATTTTGATTAGACCTTGTTGTTGGATGGAATTAATGACTTCTCTATATTCTTACTGATTTTCTGCCAACTGTTTAGAGAGAGGTGCTGAAATCTCCAACTATAACTGTGGAATTGTCTCTCCTTTCAGTTCTATCAGTTTTTGCTTCACATATTTTACAGCTCTGTTGTTTTGTGCACATGCTTTTTTTAAGATTTCCTGGTGGATTGACATTTTAAAAATAATTTTTTTGTTTTATTTATTTTATTTTATTAGGGGAAGGAAATTAGGCTTGTTTATCTATCTATCTATCTATCTATCTATCTATCTATCTATCTATCTATCTATCTATTTTTCATGGAGGTACTGGGGATTGAACCCAAGATTTCGTGTATGCTAAGCACACACTCTACCACTGAGCTATACTCTCCCTCTTGGATTGACATTTTCATTGTAATATAATGCCCTTCTTTGTCTCTGATAACTTTCTTTGCTGGAAAGTCTACTTTATCTGATATTAATACAGTCACTCCTGCTTTTCTTGATTAATGTTTCCATGGTTTACCTTTTTTATCCTTTAACTTTCAACCTCCCCATATCATTATATTTGAGGTCAGTTTCTTGTAGACATTAAACAGGTGGGTTATTTCTTTTAATCCACTCTGCAAGCTCTGACACTTTATTGGTATATTGAGACCATCTACATTTATGTTAGGGATTTAGTCTGCCATTTTATTTTTTGTTTTCTGTTTGTTTCTGGTTTCTTTTGTTACTGTTTCCTTTTCCCTGCTTTCTTGTTACACGGACATATTTTAGAATTCTACTTTTATTTATCTATGGTGTTTCTGAATATCTCTGTACAGTTTTTTGGTTTTGCTCTAGGTATTACATTATGTAAACATAACTTATCTAAGTCTACTGATGTCTCCATTTTACCAGTTCAAGTGGTGTGTAGAAACCTTACCTCCCTTTACTCTTTGTTTTAAGTGTGTTCATAGTTATCACTGAAGCATGTTTATGATGGTGGCTTTAAAAGCATTGTCATCACTGTCATCTATTGATTATCTTTTTATATTCAGTTTGAAGTTTTCCTAGTTCTTTGTATGATTAGTGATTTTCAATTGAATCTGGATATTTGGGGTATTATGCTATGAGACTCTGGATCTTATTTAAACCTTCTGTTTAAGTTGACACTCTGCTAGGCCTCCTCTGATATCACCACAGTGGGCAGGGAGAGGAGTGGCTCATTATTACTAGGTGGGGAAGGAAGTCCAGGATCCCCATGTGGTCTCAACTGACACAATAAAGGGGAAACCTCATTCCCACTCTGTTAAGATGAAAGTCCCAGCCCCACACAGCCTTCTTTGACACCACCCTGGCAGGTGTGGTGTCAAAGTAAGAGTAAAAGTCTAGATTTCCTACCAGACCTTTGCTAGTAGAAGTGAGGGAAGGACCAAGGCCACCATTTTTTCTGTGGCGCTTAGCTGGGGTAGAGCAGTTCTTGTCAAAAAATTTTGTCTTGCTAGGCTGCCCCTTTCCTGGTTTTTTGTCTAAAGAGAATAGGTTTTTGTTCCAGCATTTTTTTTTTTTTGTCTTTCCCTGGTTTTGTTTCTAGGTTACCAGCTTTTTTCAGCTCTAGGTCTAGGATCCGTGAAACTAAAAAGAAAACCCAAGGAACTAACTAACCACCACGTCATTTCCTGGGTCCCAAAGTTCCTAGTTAGTGCCTCAGTCTTTCCACCTTTCAGATCCGTCCTGTCTGTAACACCTAGGTTTTCACTTGTAGTTAGCAGGGAGAACAGGGAAAAGCACTTCTATTCCATCTTCCCCAGAAGGGGAAGTCTCACAACTTCTAAGAAACTATCACTTACAAAGCTTCGGCATATTATTCAGGGAGAGTATCTATAATTATGTTAAAAGGCTATTAAAATAATCTTTCCTTTTCCAACTACGTATCTGTGTGAGGCCAGAATTTTTCTCATATATTTCAGCTAAAACAGCCTACCACAAAATTGCATGCAGAAGCAGACACAAGAATCCAGCTGCCATCTATTAAGCCAGACGTTAAAGAGATTTGCACACACACAAAATCTAGTTTTTACACTAATTTTTTTGCTTTAAAAAATAATTACTTTTCCTAAAAGTACATTATATATGTAACATATATGACTTTACTAGTTATTTTTAATCAATAAAAATAAACATTTTAGTATTCTCTCTAAATGTTAATAGGTAAAACCCACATTATTATTTAAGTCCTCAAAAATTTTTAAGAGTGTAAAAAGGGTCCTGAAACCAAAAAGTCTGAGAACCTGTGAGGTAGAGAAAATGAATATTAAAGGAAGTACTCACTTCCTCTCCCGCGAGTTCTAGGTGTGGTTTGTGAGTGTTCTGTCTAGTTCCTGCTGGCAATTCAGGTGGTATCCCTGGTGTTGCTGGAAGGACGGCACCACGTTCTTCATTGTCACGCGTAACTGGAATTCCTTGCAGTATTCTACAAAACAAGAAGATTGTGTGCCAAGACAAAAACATTGTTTTTTAAGTCACTGATAAAGCAAAAGACGTTTGTTCTCATTTTATCTCTCTGCCAAAATAAATACATTGACATTTGATATCTGTACTAAACAGATACTGTCCATAATCTAAAATGGAAAATAATTCAAAAATAATTTGTTTGCTTCTGAATGCATTTTAGGAGTAAGCTTTATGATGGTTTTGTTTTATGATATTGGAAACAACAAGTTCACCCTATGAAAGTCTGATTATAAAAGAGGCAAAAAATTTTCTATCTTCTGATCCCTAACCTGCTCCCCACTCCAAGCTCAAAGGAAATGGTCTCATTTCTCAGACTGGGGCAAAAAGCAGAGCTGCCTTTTCACATTAAGGTTTTCTCTTCTTGATTCTTATCTTGCCAGGATGAACAGAAAACTGTTATGGCATCCAGTCTTCACTTGTAGGTTATAAACCACGTATACATAAGAATATACATAGGAGATTTAAAACTCATCAATAAAAGCCTTAATGAAACCAAAGAGATGGCGTAAAACAAAATTTGAAGGCAAAATGTGTCATTAGTGACTGACTTACAGAGTGCTTGAAAATACATTCATTTTTGTATTACAGCTCTTACTGTGAAAGAAATATAAAACAAGTATAAAGTGGACCTACATAGACTATATCCATATTTCAATTTCACATGGAAGTTTTTAGACCCAACGTTCCCTCTAACTTTTTGGTATACCATTTTATGAATAGATAACCACTTTATGAGCCACCAAATGTTAAGACAAAGCACACACATACCAAACTGACTTGACTTAACAACACGTTGGAATCCTCAGATTCCATTATACCAGCTCTTCAAAGCAGGCCCACCCGAATCCAGGCTGGAGAAGGCAGGGCTTTGCTAAAGTAGATTCATGGGGAAAAGCTTCCTGTCTCACCTAGTCAAATCTCTGAATTCAAAGAGAAGATAAATCTCAACTCCCAGCACAGGGAATACAGTAGACTGCTATTCCACGTCCAACCCATCCTCCCTCCAATAATGCTTTCTTGAACTGCTGAGGATGGAGAGGTGAAGACTCTGCTGCAGCCGGCGTCCTAGATGCGAGTTAGGATCCACTAACCAGATGCACTCACGTACACTGTGGAAGGAAGAAGGTTCTATGTTTCTGTTGGCAAGCAGACATGGCAACACTGAGTTCTTCTGCAGCAGGGTTCCAGATACTTCTTTTGTGGGAAGCATGTTTCATTTTTGTTTTGGTTTTTTGCCAGTGAGCATTTCAAACACTTATAGTATGGCTCCAGAGTCAAAAGTTGTGACAGTAGAGACCACATGATTCCCGAGTCTCAACCGAGGTGGTATGTTGCCAGTATCGGCTTCCAGATGTCCCACCTTCCTGACTACACCAGAAGCAGTAGCATGCTATGTGAGCCATCTCTGGAAAGCCCTCCCTGCCTACAGCCCATTTTTCCAATCTATCCATTGGTTTTAAAAGCATCATATTCTCATCACTAAATCCCTTTTTGCTTAAAATAGCTAAAAATATTTGTTTTCTGCAACTGAACCCTGAATGATACAACCAGGAAAAACGAAACAGGGTATTTTATTGGCTAGAACAATGAGCCAAGAGAGCACATATATCAAGATCAATAAAGTATTTCTAAGATCGGGAGGAGAAGGGTGAAGAAACTACTTCGAGGCACTGCTATATTCTTACCTGGCCCTAAGCCAAAAACAAAATAGTAAGAATCATTCACATGTTATTGTCTTTTCACATTTCAAATGTGCACCAAAGAAACAGAAATTCTGGCTGGACGGAAGGAACGTGAAAGAAGTCATTGCACCTTCTAGAGTGTGCAGCTCTGGTAGATGTGAACTGGGGACCTTAGTGGAAAGGCTACCCAAGGTTAGCAACGGTTCCTGTATGACAAAGATGAATCACTTACTTTGAAATTTTTGTCCAGATTATCCCTGTTTCCTTCTTTATTTCCAGAGAAAAGAACCAATCCTTTCTAAAGTTCTCCCCTCTACAGACCACTATCACCTCAGTGGTTCAGATTGAAAATTTCCTCATTTCCAATACCCCCAAACTCCCAACAATAATTACTGGTCCTGATCCTTCTCCCTCCAGACTGTCTCTACCTTCCATTGCATTTTCTCTCAACTGAGTCCTATGACAACATCTTTGCTGTCCCTCACCTCTCAGTTTTTCCTCTTCCAACCCATGCTATATACATACCCCTGCCAGTGTTGTCTTCAATCACCCCCTTTCAAATACTTTAATGACTACATACACCATGTAAAACCCAAGCTCCTGAGCCTGGTAGTCAGGGTCCCCCACAGTATGGGGACCATCTACCTTATCAATCCTACTTTCCTCCTCTGACACCTGGCCCAACTACATTCATTATGCAAAAGGTGCCCTGGGTGCTGAGATTACCAGCAGTGCAACAGGGTAGTCGGGCAAACTGAACGATAATACAGTGTGGCTGTGAAAATGTTGAAAACAAGATTTTCAGATCTCAATCTTCTATGAGACCTTTACAAAGACCCTCCACTCAGTCAAAATTCATCTTTGCCACCCTAGTTTTCCTAACACATTTGATCTGTAATTTCGTTGCACAATAAAATACATTTCAGTCTGTATATTTTTCTCAGTAGATTATAGGCTGGTTGGGTGGGGTAGGAGGAGGAGTGATTCTTATTCATTTTCTATCTCGTGAATATAGAAGATACTCAGTAAGTACTATTTAATACTGTAGTTGAAAAGTCCCACAGCCAAAGCCAGCCCAGATCCTGTCCGGAGAAATCAAGAATCATGAGTTGGCATGATGTACTGCAGTGGTTCTCAAAGTGTGTTCCCTAACCAGCATCATGAGCATCACATAGGAACTATCTAGAAATAAACATTTTTGAGCCCTATCACACTTAATGAAACAGAAGATCTAGGGATGGGATGGAACCCTTCTATGTTTTAACCAGCCCTACAGTTGATTCTGATGCACGATGAAGTTTGAAACCACTGATGTACTGCAATCTTTCCTAAAAGAGACTGATCGTAAGAACATCCTGGGATGCTTGTCAAATCTATAGCTTCCTGGATACCTCCAATGGAGATTCTAATTCAGTAGGTTTGGAATAGAACCTGAGAACTGATACACTTAAACACTCCAATTAGTCCTTACCCTCAGGAGAAACCGAAAGATCACTGCTATTGTGAGAAGAGCTAGCCTTTGGAATGAGGTTAAAACCAGGATTTTAGCCGAGTTTGGCCACTTGATGTGCTATGTTGGATAAGTCACTTTTCCTCCCTAACTCTCAGTTTCCTCATTTATGAATAGCAACAGTGATCTGGTCTTTCAGGGTCTAATGCTTAGAAAGAGTGTATGTCAAGAGTTGCGTAAAATACAAATAGTAAGTGGTTGATACTACAATCATTTTTGTTATTAATACTGAGGGGACTGAATGAAGGAAACCAGCCCACTTATCTCAGAGTGAGTTACACCTCCTTCTCAGTCAACAGTGGTCTCCCATGGGGCCAGAGATATAAAACGTATTTCTTATTGCATGTTATCAAAGAAGTTTGGAAAACATTTGCTCTGGGATGTGAGCACTCTTAAAAAAAAATCTCCACACACACCTTCTGGAAGTTACATAAGAGTGATTGTGAGCGCCATCCTGTGAAGCGTGGAGAAGGGTTCTCCCCCGAGCAACCTTCTCCCGTCCTTGGTGTGACTCTAGCAGAGAAGTCCCCCATCACATCTTCATTTCACTATCTCTTCCTTAGAAAATTTACTTTGGGGAAGACTTCACAGGATGGAACTCACAGTCACTTTTATGCAACTCAAAACAGATGTTTGCAGGGATACTTTAAGAGTGTTCACGTACAACGGTTTTGCCAAAGTAATATTTACATGCAATATAGTATTCTATCCTAGACATCATTTCTTTAAGGTGCTCACAGCAAGCCACTAAATTCACTTCACAGTCCACTTATTGGGTCACAGTCCACAACTTAGAGAACAGTAGCTTACAGAGAATGTTGTTTGAAAAGAAAACTTCTAGGTCTAGAAAAGACTTTAGGAGTTCATCTTCTTAAAGATGCTAATCCACAAATAATTTTCTTCAGTAAAGTCTGTAAAATCGACAGCAGAGGCAATGAATACTTTCAATACTTAAAAAAATTCAGGGAATATAGTCTTAATAAAATAATAAATCTGAAGACAAATGAGAGTGTAACTATATAGAATTTTTTAACAAAACATGATTAGGGAGGGGGGATTTTATTTTGAATCATTGTAACATCATTGCTACATGCAAACAGTGACATCTGGTGGAATGATACTGCTTTGCTTAAAAAATCCCAGCTTTCAGATTATTTCCAGTAGTTATGAAGTCAGTTATGAAATCAGATGAGTTTCCAAATAATTCCCTTTTTTGGCATTTCTATGTAAAAACAAAAACACATTAATCTCATATCTTATCAATTACTGATAGTGCATACTAAAATAAATTTGTTATCCCAATCTATATTTTTAAAAATATGCTTAAGGCTTAGTTAGGTATAGGGGCTACTTGTTGACAATGAATATAATAAAAATCTATTGGATATTATTGATTCTAGTTCTAACTCTGCCACCAGCTGTGATTTGGGCTGCAAAATTTTGCCTCTGTTTCCTCATCCGTAATATGAGATGGTTAGCCTAGAGGAAGGCTAAGATGTCTTACAGCTCTGATACATGTGCTTCTGTCACATATATCACCAGCTAGACCTCAAACAGGGATTAAGTCTTACATTCTTTGGCATTATATCATTGGTCATTGCCTGGATTATGCAGCAAGGAGCAAGTCCAAGTAAGGGGGGGTGGGGCCAGGGCCAGGATTAGATCTGACCATTGAGGAATGGCAGACAATGCAGGTGAGGAAGAGTCAGTCCCAGATACCTACACTGGAAGGAATGTAGAGCCGAAGACAAAACACAGTATCCCAAA